CCGTTTGGTTTTCGCTTTACAAACTAGATCGTATCTTAACGTACGTTCGTAGTTTTAAAAGCTACTGGGGGCTATGTAGAAATACGGCCTCCGGCCAGTCTAAAATATCAAGATCAATTGAGATAATACATTGGTTTTTATTTGTATTTTAAATAATTTAATACAAGCTCTTTTTCCAATATTTCCAAAGTGTTCTAAATTCACTTTGATGGCTCCAATAGCCTGAGTATTTGGTATGACTCATCTACTTGGACCTATTTAAGACATTAGTAGATGTAGGATATTATAAACTAAATTTTATAATCTCCGAACTACTACTTACAGGTTTTGGTCCTCCCGCCAATCTCCAAAATCCAATAAGTCTTTTTCTTTTTTTAACTTTTCTTCAGATGGAACTTTATTTATATCAGCTAATGTATTAACGTGACAAACGTTATTATGTCTATCTACAAATTAGGCATGTGGTCATGAACACTTAGTACTTCTAGTGAAAATTATTCAATAAAGAACAGTTAGAGGTACGCCCTGTGTGATCGAGGATATTTAGGCTCTTAACAAGAGGCAGTCCCGATCATTCTTACACAAGCTACCACTGCTAAATCCTAGCTGACTAAATTGTATTTTAGTTTAGTATAGTTTGAAACCTAGTAGTTTCCATCGAAGTTTACAAAGCCATCCAGCATGAAGCAAATCTATCCCTTTGCACCAAGTTAGGGTTCCCGACCTGATTTTGCGTCAATCCCACAATTTATGACCCACAATCCTAACCCCGCCTCCACCCAATCCGATGCGGGAAAGGCATCCAGTCACAACATGTCTCACTCCGGTAGTCACAGCTACAACCTCCCAAATCCAGGTCCAAACCATCACCACCCAAATCACCATCCACATACAAGTCCAAACCACCACCATACGCATACAAGTCCAAACCACCACCATACGCATTCAGGTCCAAATCATCACCATCCGATCCACAGTTCCGTCGGGCCTCCTGGTCCAAGGGGCCTCCAGGGTCCCGTGGGTCCCGGGGGGTGCCCAGGTACACCGGGTACACCGGGTACACACGGTACAGTAGGAGCAACGGGGGTACCCGGGGTACCCGGAGCCACCGGAGCAACAGGTGCACACGGTAATCCGAGTGCCGTTGGACCGGAGGGGGCCACGGGAACTACTGGAACTCCCGGTAACGGGGTTGAGGGGGTCCACATTGACGACACTGGCGCGCTGATCGTTTCCTACACAGACAACTCGTCCCACAGTGTGGGTGTGGTGCGACCGGTATTTAACACGCTCGTCGACGACTCGGGGGCGCTGATTTTCGAAATGCCCGACAGGAACACGGTCGACGTTGGCATTGTCAGGGGACCGGGATTTACGCGCGCCGGACTCAAAGCGGATGGCTCACTGGTGCTTGTGGGTACCGACGGGATCGGGCGCAACCTAGGCAAGGTTGTGGGGGCTGGTATTCCCGACATTAGCATGGAATGTGGTAGTGGACGGCTTACGTTCCACCTGTCGAATGGGACCACATACACTGTCGACGTGCGAGAGGGGTGACCCTGGGACTGGTTTTTCACGGGTCGAATTAACCGGTTCCGGGGAGCTGAGCATTTACGACATGTGTGACCAGCAAAAGATACTGAGTAATGTACAGGGAGCACCGGGTGAGAGGGGTGAACGGGGCGTTTCGTTCATCAGTGCCGTGGTCAGCGACGATGGTCGACTGTTCCTATACGACAGCGAGAGTAGTGACTACCTCGTCGTGGCACTTGGGGCGGATCTGGAAACCGGTTTACACGGTACACTGAGCCCCGAGTTTGTTCCGATGTTTGGGGAGTTCCTGCCCCGTACAGCGGCGCTGCAGAAGTACGATGCCAAGTTGCTTGGCAAGGTTGGCAAGCGGTACCACAACTCCATGAGGTGGCTGGTTGTGGGGGCGGAGCGTGTCAAGTCGAGAAGTTGCCCGTATAGATTGTGGGTGCAACGCTGCAATCTAGCTACTAAACGAACGCACTCTAAACGCTTCTCGCTCCTGAATGCACTCTAGTCCATTTCGCCCCTTTGGTTTTTTTTTGTGTTTTTGTGACAAAATAAATAAATAGAACTAAATAATAAAAATAAAACCCCTCTAAAAAACCTACAAACACAACACTTCACAACAATGGGTGGGAACGTGTCTAAGAGTTTTCGAGAGCAGACGACGTCGATGGTGGCAGACGTATTTGTCAGTACAACAACCGACATTTCCAATTCCACCAACAGTTCCAATATATCACTACAAACCATCAGGTTCGCTGGTACGTGTGGTGGGGATTTTACCAGCCAGCAGACGTCCACCAAAACGTCCAAGACCGTGCCGACGGTGACGAATAATGTATCCAATGAAGTCGCCAACAAGATTGAGTCATCGCTTATTGACAACTTTAAAAAGATACTAGACCAGTCCCAAGACGGCATTAGTACAAGTACTAACAAATCCGTGGTTATCGACGTGGTGAGTCAGTCGATCAGGTCCAACACACAGGCGATACACCGGACGGTGATTGATAACAATTTAAAGTCAAGCAACGTCAACAATCAGACCGTCGATTTTGTGGATGAGGTGGCGGGCAATTGTCATTTTGACCAGAACTCGATCCTCGATTCACTCTCTGAACAGTTTGCAACTACGCTGGTGCAGACGGTCCTCGACGCTCTAAACGTGTCGACGGTCGACAAAGTCACAGACATAGATGAGACACAGGAAAACAAGGGCCTGTTTAATACGACGATGCTAATAATGCTGACCATCATTGCGGGTGTGATTTTGGCTATTGTCGTGGTGTTTAAGTTTTTCTGAGAAACAAAAATCGAAATCGAAAAGTTGTGTCGCGTATATAAAAACGGATATTGCAGTCAGAATTGAAATAAAGTAGCGAAATGGCGAGAAGCAGTATGTACGCAAAGATCCAGAGCATGCTGTCAATGAGCTTTGATGCTGCGACAAACGAACTTTCCAACTGGGTCGCCCAGGGCGGCGTGTTTGTGGCTCAACTGTACACATTCCAGCCCGACCACGAGGAGCTCGTGTTTGTCCGAAACACGGGGTTTGACCAGTTTGTGTTCACTCACCTTGTCGGACGTCATCTGTTCCCAAACGCGCAAACTTACGTGGACGTCGTCGCTCGAATGAGTAGCGTGGACATGGTCCGCGTCACACAGTGGGTGGCGAACAACTCACGCGTCAACTCAGCGTCACTGAACCGGAACGAGCGAATTGCGGCAGACCGATTGATCGCGTACGTGAACGGGACTCGTGGTGGACTCGAGGGTGTGATGCGGGAGTTTGTGTTTGCGTACGACGTACAGCGTGCTGTGTTGATGTGGTCTGTCAGCTACGAGGATGTAAAGTTCAGAGCCAACGTCCGTTTTGCGAAGGCTATGAATACAATCCGCGTGCAGATCTTGCTACTAGAGTTTTTGTCAGTCAACCACACAAACAAAATCCCTCAGATAAAGTGGCAAGTCCCCTTTTCTATTGGCTCATACACGAGCACTAACCGAGTCCCTGGGAGCAAGTTGCGTTATCGGCTGCGGTTGTACATTGAAGTGCTCATATACCGGATCCGGAAAAAACTGAGATTGTTATAATCACACATAAAGTAGTAGTATATTTATTTATATGTACATACTTACATATACATATAGTTATATACTTCATCTCATTTACACGCGCGCGCGTTGAGTGCAACCATGAGTAATAATAACACGCTATACCTCAAGGAATGGGACCCAGAAACCCTGAGTCCCAAGACCAACCCGTCCGACCCCAATGCCAAAAACGAGTCCTACACCGAGGGGTCCAAAGTTCTCATATGTGGTCGTACCGGGCAGGGGAAATGCATGGCCCCCGAGACGATGGTCAAGATGTTTACGGGTGAAATTAAGCGTCTGGACCAAGTCGTGGTTGGTGACCGGCTCTTGGGTCCCGATGAGCGACCCAGGGTTGTTAAGACCCGCGTCACCGGTCGTGAACAAATGTACACTGTATACCAGGCCGACAGCGATCCGTACGTGGTCACCGGCGACCATAAGCTGGCACTCTTTGATCACGGCGTCTCGAGGGTCATTATTGTGCCCGCGATCCGGGTGTTTGACCTTCAGGGGAATGGAAACGATACACACGAACACACACTCTACCCAACCCAGACCTGGGACCTCGATTACACCCAACTGGCCATTAGCGACGCGGACCCCTGGTCGCGGTTTGGGCGGCTTGTTCGCCCGACTGTGAATCAGGGGCTCCAGGACCCGGCCGATTTCCTGAAGGACGCACTCTGGTCGGTGCGGTCGACGTTTTCAGACTGTGACATAAAGATGCGTGCGGCGTCCATTTCCAACATTGACCCCAGACATCGGGCACTGGTCCTGGTCATCCTGCGCCTCCACTGTCTGGCGTGCCGGGTTGGGGATGACGGATCCATCTCGTACTTTAGAATCCGCCGCAACTGCGTTGGCGGTATTGTACACGTGACGCGCAATGAAGCACTGGAGGAGGATTATGTGGGCATCCAGGTTTCTGTGGATGGACTGTTTTGCCTGTGTGACAACACGGTGACGCACAATTCGACCATTGCTAAAACTCTATTGTACGAGAAGCGCGACATGTTTGACTCGGCCTTCCTGTTTACAGGCAACCCGTCTACTGCAGTAAAAGACTGGTCGCCAATCATCCCGGAGGTGTATCATTATGTCAACGAGGACGTGACACCCGAAGCCCTCAATGACATTGTCACACATCAGCAGCGCGCAAATAACACCAAGCGCAAGGACTACTTTGGCGGAGAGCGGCACTCCAAGAGCTTCATGGCCATGGTTATGGACGATCTCAGTGGCCGGCGTACATTTTTCGACAAACTCTCGGGTGCATTCAACTACTCTCGCCACTACTCCATGTTTATGGTTGTGTGTACACAACAGTACACAAACATCTCACCCGAGGTCCGCAAGTCCGTCAATGTAATCATTTCGACGGGTGCGGACTCGGTTTCGGAACGCGAGAGCCTGTATCGGGAGTTTTTTGGGTTCATACCCGACAAAAAGGTCTTTTACGAGATTCTGGACTACACGGCGTCGCTACCGTACACGGCCTTGGTGGGCGACCGCGACGTTAAAAGTACAAATTGGAGAGATAAGATCTTCTACTACCGAGCCAAGCCGGTCCCTGATTCGTTCAAGTTGGGGTCGCACCAATTCTGGAAGATGCACTACCGCATGTACAATGTGAACCACGATGCCCAGGACGATCTTCCGGTGATATCCAACATGACGGGGATTTAGGGTTTTAAAATACGAAAAAAATTAAAATAACACACAATAGGAAAAATATTATCCTTCGTCTCACTCTCCCCATTGCATTTGATTTGGAATTGGATTTGGAACTGGACTTGGAACTGGATTTGGATTAGGGCTGATATTACCCTGTACCGCCTAGACCGACCGATCAACTCAAAGGCACCGGTGCGAGTGGCTGGTGTGAGATTGGGGGACCAGAACATTGGTCTGATGGCGACAACGTTTGGGTGGGGATTGACTACGGATGTCGCTTGGGATTGCCATAGCGAATTTTGGCGAACTGGGGACACAGGTGGTCTACGGCGACACGGACAGTTGCTACGTCACCTTCAGCGATATTGCGGCTGATGATTTCCCCGCCCTGTGGGAGCGATCGGTGACCACCGAGAAGGCGCTGGAGTCGTGTTTACCGACCCCCATGCACATGTCACTGGAGATCTACGAGACCATCATCTTATTCAATAATATATATATATATATATATATATATATATATATATATATATATATATATATATATATATATTATATATATATATATATATATATATTATATATATATATATATATATATATAT